AAACTTCCTCTACAAACCCTCTGGTTTTGTCAGAATTTTCCAGATTTTCAGTTCTGGATTATCGTTACTGGGTTCTTTCTTACATTATTCATTCAACAAATATTTATTGAGGATCCACTATGTACACTATGCAAGGCGCTAGGAATACAGTGATGTTCTAACAAACATACCCTAGCCTCAAGATATTTGGCATTTGCAGTTAGCTTTATAAGTATGCCAACTCTAACTAGACAATGATTCTAAATTCTGGTGTTTTCTTTGTTCATGACCATTCATTGATACCACGTGTTTTGTTTTGTTTTTTTTTGTATTTGATTTCTTTAATTTGATAATTTCTTTGATTAGCTAGAGCACTTCTTGGAGTAATTGTTTTTCAGAAAAGCTCATGGTATGTTTTTTATTGTTGTGGGTTTTGTTTTTTGTTTTTGTTTTGAGATGGAGTCTCCCTCTGTCACCCAGGCTGGAGTCCAGTGGTGTAATATCTCGGCTCACTGCAACCTGTGCCTCCCAGGTTCAAGCAATTAACCTGCCTCAGCCTCCTGAGGAGCTGCGATTACTGGAATGTGCCACCAGGCCCAGATAATTTTTGTATTTGCAGTAGAGTGGGAATTTCACCTTGTTGGCCAGGCTAGTCTCGAACTCCTGACTTCAAGTGATCTGTCCACCTCGGCCTCTTAAAGTGTTGGGATTACAGGTGTGAGCCACCGTGCCCAGCCCATGGTATGTTTCTTAAGTCCTTCCTTAGGCATCTGGTTTATGGTAGACGCAGATGCTAGACAGCCCTGTCCAGGATCAATAGTTGAATTGTGTTTGTGTTGTGGGCAGACAGAGCCTGCCTGAAAGGTGCTATCCCCTATCCAGTGCTTTCCACATACTCAGTGTGAACTTTTCTCCCTCTGGTCTGGCTGTCTAAGCACAGACTCCCCACGTGGTCCACTGACACTCTACACTCTGCCCATCCTCCCCAACTGAGTCCTTCATCCTAGATCCACGCTCTGCTCCTTTTTCTAGATTCACATTCTCCAGTTGGTTATCCAAACTCTTGAGTTGCCTAAAGCCCATCATGAAGCAGGCCAACCAGCCCCAGGTTCATGCCCTTTCTGATCTGTTCTGTTCTCCTGCCTCCCACCACCCGCCTCTGACAGCAGGACCCTAAGGGAGTGGATAAGCATCTCTCAGTTTTAATTGATAGAAAAGGCCAGTGAACTTTGGGCTTCAGTGGGGAGGGATAGGTATGCCTCTGTGTGTGTGGGGAATGGAGTGGGAGCACTCATACGTGTGTAGGGGGTGGGGTGGAAGTGTTCAGATGTGGGGCTTCATGTGCATGCATGCATATGTAGGTGGGAAGGGGACAGGTGTATGTGTATTCATGTGTCTTCCTAGAGGGACTAGAGATGTAAAACTCTGAAAAGAAAAATGAAACAATTTTTTAAATGGCAGAGAAGAATTTTTAGTATCCATCCCTCCCTAAAGAAAAACAGAAAAAGCAACCTTTTCCAGGCTGTCACATCTCTAAGTATAGCAAATGGTAATTTAATAAGCAAGCCAAATTACACATGATGCATTATTTCTCAAGCTTAAAAAAAAAAAAGTTTGGGCCGGGGCGGTGGCTCACGCTGGCACTTTGAAAGGCCAAGGCCAGCAGATCACCTGAGGTCAGGAGTTCAAGACCAGCCTGACCAATATGGTGAAACCCTGTCTCCATTAAAAATACCCATAATTAGCCAGGCATAGTGGCAGGCACCTGTAATCCCAGCTGCTTAGGAGGCTTAGGCAGGAGAATCACTCAAACCTGGGAGGTAGAGGTTGCAGTGAGCTAAGATCATACCACTACACTCTAACCTGGGCAACAAGAGCAAAACTCCATTTCAAAAAAACAAACAAAAGCAAACAAAAAACCTGGTTTGGTTCTCTAAATGACATTATTAAAATTACACTTTACATGTTGTATAATTCCCCAAAATTTCTATTCCTCCCCCAACAAAAACAGTTTCATTTCTCCCCATCTGTGTCTTCAAAATCTCTGGGAATTGTGTGTTTCCAAATGAGAATCTCTAGGTAAATATAAAATAATATAAAGATATCAAAGGGAGCAGAGGAGACAATCTTAGGGGTTCTTGAAAAATTAAGCCTTTCTTTAATTATGATCTTAATAATTAAATATCTTATTATTTTAAAGCAAGAGCACAAAGGATCTGGATTTTTCCATTCCTTCTATATAGTTCGTTTAATGTAGACACTAGCCTCCTTTCTTTATCTCTCTCTTACCTTTTTAATTTCTTTGCCCCTTGTTCCTTTTTACTGTTCAACTACGTTATTTCCTGAACCCCAGCTTGTCAATCTTCGTTGCTCTATTTTAAAAGTTATCAATCAGCCCACATCCCCCTATAGGAAAAAAGGGGTTAAAATGGCCTAGTCCAATGAAAGAAGACAGCCAGTTGGCCCTTGGGTTTCTTTTATTGAACCAAAGTGAAATCTAGGTATTAAGCACCCATCCAAGCAAAAAGGCAAGACACTTCCACTGCCCCTCCACCTCTATTTGACAACCTGACCAGTATGGACAATATTAGACCAAACTTCTCCATCTTTGATAGGTCCTTTAGAATGAGTAACTCACTAAAGAAGGACAGCTTCCCATAAAAAACAACATTTGGATTTGATCACAACTTGAACTTATTTTTTACCTGGGAATAGGGACACACAGTGTGCAACGTGGATGAACCTTGAGGAAGGTGAAATAAGCCAATCACAAAAGACAAGTACTGTATAATTCCATTATCTGAGGTACCTAGAGGAGTTAAACTTACAGAGACAGAATGTAGAATGGGGTTTTCCAGGGGCTGGGGAAAGGAAGAATGGGGAGTTAGTGTTTAATGGGTGTGGAGTTTCAGTTTTGCAAGATGAAAAGAGTTCTGAAGATTGGATATGTAACAATGTGAATGTTAATACCACTGATGTGTACACTTAAAAACAGTTAGAATGGCCAATTTTATGTTATGTATTTACCACAATTAAAATTTTTTTTTTAAAGTTTGAATATCTATTAGTTTTCCACAGGCTTATAGACTTAGAATTAGGAGAGGTAATTAGAGGTTACTTGGCCTAACGTTTCTCAAACATTTTTGAGTGAAACTCACAAATCATGATCCGGTATGTATAAGTCATGATATGGACAGATATAGACATATGATTATGAATACAGACATATGTACATTTGTATACACAAACATACACATAACTGATACGTAACTAAAGACAGCATAGGAAGCATTATTTATCCCACTATATGAGATTTACTCTCATTTTTTCCTACTCTATCTTATTTCATTAAATAAATAACAAAATTAACAAAATACCATTTACAATCCATAAATTGATTTCACAGTGTACTAATAGGTCTCAATCTGCTGTTAAAACACTAACCTAGACCAATCCCTAACATAATGTAAAAATCTCCTCCAAAGCCTGCCTGCTGGGTGGCCATCCAACTTCTGCTTGAATGCCTTCAGTGATGGGGAACTCACCCCCTACAGGGCAGCATGCTCTATGGTAGACTCATATAGCATTTGCAGATCCTGCTCACTCCAGAGCTTTTCAGGAGTGGCCTGGGTGGAGCTGGGAATGCGAGGAGGGCTGGGACAAGCTGACAGGTGCTCTGTGGTTTCCAAGAGGGGTGAAAACACAGCTCCTAGCAATGAGCTGTGTTTTCACCAGCTCATTGGAATGAGCCAGAGACTGGGGCAGCATTGCTGGGAGACTCTGGCTTCCTTCTATGGAGCTGCTGATCAGACCTTTTCCCCTCTGCCTTCTTACCGCTCCAGCACTATGATTATATCCTCATCTGAAGGATGATCTCATTCTCCTAGTACCCGCCTGTGGGAGAGGTTTCCTCCCACTGAGAGGTGGGGGGCTCAGCCTCAGGTTGAGACAGATTCCCCCACAGTCCCTCTCAACCTCCCACCTACCCCTCGAGCCTCAGCAGGCCACCTCTGGCCATCCCCACCTTGTATTCTCTTGGTCTTGATACAGGGGGTGTACCTTCCCGGGGTATTCAGACAAGGGTACCTGAACATTCCTGACCTCTCCCTCCCACCCCCATACATAAACACACACACACACACACACACACACACACACACACACACGCACAGAGCATTCTGGAGACTGGCCCACGTTCAGGACAAGACTCCACCACACCTGATTGTGTCTTACTGAGAGAAATAAAACAAAGGCAGCACCACCACGTGGGGACAGCTGGCCACTGGACATCAAAACCCTGGGTCCCAGGATAAGAAATGAATGATGCCTAAACTCCTGGCAAGAATGGTGGGCTGAATAAGGAGTGGGGCTGGCCAGAGCCCCAGTCAAGGACCAGGGCGTGGCAATTCTGGGTGTCTGCAGTTTTCAGCTTTGAAGCCAGCCACCTCTGGCCAGGTAGGATCAGGATGACCTCAGGGTGGGGCGGGGCCAGGAGGAGGTGATGATCTCATTGCATCCTTAGAACCAAGAGAAGAAAGTAAACCGTGCATAAATAGAGGCAAAGGAAAAGATGGGTGATAAAAATGGGAATGAGAGACAAGAAAAGCTGTGTCTGAGGAAGAAAAGGTAAAAACACAGGACAGCATCCCACTTGAAATGGATCTTCAGGTCACAGCCAGCTGCAGGGGCAGTCAGACTCCACACAAAACCTTTCTCCCTAAGCAACAAAACACTTTTATGCAGAAATAACTCACGATGGCATCTGACAATTCCCACTCATCCTGCCTCTCCTGAGCTCTGGAATAAAAATGACACCGGAGCCCACCCTCACCCCTTGACTGAGCACCATTCTTTTTGCCTCACCCTATTTACCCCAAGATCTGACAAAGTTTAATTGATTGAGTAAAACCAAAGGCAATACAATAGGTGTTAGACCCCTCGCTTCTCCCTACTGTGCCTGCTGTCTTGTTTTTTCTTTTGCCTGAAAAGCCTCGAATTAGTTGCCTTTTATTTTTACTTACGTGCAGTCCAGTTAGAAGCGAGCTGCTCTCTTCCTCACTCCCTCAATTAGTGGTACCCTGGGCTTCTCTCAACATCAGCACCACTGATCGCTCTCGCCATGACATCACCTCCAAGCTCTGTGATTGGCCAGCAGTGGGTTGCTTGGCAATTGGACAGTCTCCTCTGGTGGAGCAGGGATTGCCTGAGTGAGTAACTCTTAGCAGGCCAGGGAGTGGAAGATGATGTCAGACAAAGAGCCTGCTTTCTCTGCTGCCTGTGGAGCTGGAGAACCAGAGGGTGAGGGTGGAGAGGAAGAAAGGAAGAGGGAGTGGTAAGGAAAGGTTGGGGGTAAGGCACAGCTTGTAAGCTGGGGGAATAATGAATGATTTCCAGAATCTTTAGGTCTTTTAAATCTGGGGGTGAGAAAATACGGAACCCAGGGAAGAAATAAAAAAGAACAGATGAACCCTAAAAATAGCTTCCAGGAGGGCTTGGTGCCTGTTTCCAGCCCCGTCAGAAGGGCTGGTGGGTTTGAACGATGACTCAGAAGGCGTGGGGTTTTGGGGGGGCTGCAAAAATCTCAGGCTTGGGAGCTGATAAGAGCCCTGCACTGGAGTCTCTGGAGAGTAAGGCTTCCCTCTGGCCACCTTTGCAAAGGTATCAGCCACATCTGTGCTGTGGCATTTGACCAACACTAGTAGGTCCTCACTGCCCCTCCCATCTAGCCCACCTGGGCCTTCCAGAGGGAGCCACAGGTAGGAAGATGGAGGGGTCATTACACGGTGATTCCTAAATATGGTGGATTTTTAAAAATTTTTTCAATAGGTTTTTGGGAAGCAGATGGTGTTCGGTTACATGAGTAAGTTCGTTAGTGGTGATTTCTGAGATGTTGGTGCACCCATCACCTGAGCAGCGTACACCGTCCCCAGTGTGTAGTCTTTTATCCCTCACTCTCCTCCCACTCTTTCTCCCGACTCCCCAAAGTCCACTGGATCATTCTGATGCCTTTGTACGCTCATAGCTTGGCTCGCACTTACGAGAGAACATACGATGTTTGGTTTTCCATTCCTGAGTTGCTTCACTTAGAAAAATGGTCTCCAATTCCATCCAGGTTGTGCAAATGCCAGTATTTCATTCTTTTTTTTTTTTTTTTTTTTTTTTGAGACGGGGTCTTGCTCTGTCACCCAGACTGGAATGCAGTGGTGCTATCTCAGCTTACTGCAACCTCTGCCTCTCAGGTTCAAGCAATTGTCCTGCTTCAGCCTCCCAAGTAGCTGGAACTACAGGCGAGTGCTACCACACTCAGCTAATTTTTTGTATTTTTAGTAGAGATGGGGTTTCACCATGCTAGCCAGGATGGTCTCCATCTTCTGACCTCTTGATCCACCTGCCTCGGCCTCCCAAAGTGCTGGGATTGCAGGCATGAGCCACTGAGCCTGGCCTATTTTATTCCTTTTTATGGCTGAGTAGTATTTCATGGTATATATATACTACATTTTCTTTATCCACTTGTTAATTGCTGGGCATTTAGGCTGGTTCCATATTTTTGCAATTGCAAATCATGCTGCTATAAACATGCATGTGCAAGTATCTTTTTTGAATAGTAACTTCTTTTCCTCTGGGTAGATACCCAGGAGTGGGATTGCTGGACCAAACGGTAGATCTACTTTTAGTTTTTTAAGGAATTTCCATGCTGTTTTCCATAGTAGTTGTATTAGTTTACATTCCCAAATGGTGGAATCTTGAGAGGAGGTGATGGGTCAGTGATGGTGGCTTCTGTACTTCGCTCAGGGAATGGGGGAGCCACTAACGTAAACTTCACAGGCTGTTGCCCTCAGCCAGTGAGCTGGAAATGGCAGATGAGGCAGGAGAGGAACCAGGCAGTTGTGGAGCGAGACACCCTCCTCCAGAACACCTCTCTGGATTAAAGCCTCCCAAGACGTGTCCACCATCCCCACATTCCACCACTCAGCCTTGCCTCATTTGTTCTTCTTGGAGGGGAGGGGTAATTTTATGTGGCCAAATATGTGCAACGTAACACTCACCATTTTAACTTTTTTTTTTTTTTAAATGGAGTTTCACTCTTGTCGGCCAGGTTGGAGCGCAATGGTGCAATCTCGGCTCACTGCAACCTCCACCTCCCAGGTTCGAGCGATTCTCCTGCCTCAGCCTCCTGAGTAGCTGGGATTACATGCACCTGCCACCATACCTGACTAATTTTTGTAATTTTGGCAGAGGCAGGGTTTCACCATGTTGGCCAGGCTGGTCGTGAACTCCTGACTTCAGGTTATCCGCCTGCCTCAGCCTCCCAAAGTGCTGGGATTACAGGAGTGAGCCACTGTGCCTGACCCTCACAGTGAGGTACAGCTTGCTGGCCTTATGTGCACACACACTGTTGTGCAGCCATCACCATTTTCCATCTCCAGAACTTTTGCATCGTCCCCAATATTCATATGTGACCAGTAAGTAATAACTCCCCTTTCCAGCTAACCCCAATCTACTTTCTGTCTGTGAATTTGCCTATTTTAGGCACCTCGTATCAGTGAAATCAAATAGTGTTCTCCTTTTTTGTCTGGCTTCATTCACTTGGCACAATGTCTTCAAGGAGCAGCCATGTTGGATCATGTGAGAATTCCAACACCTTGCTCCCCACCTTTTTTTTTTTTTTTTTTTTAAACAAAGTCTTGCTTTGTCACTGAGGCTGGAGTGCAGTGATGTGATCATGGCTCACTGCAACTTCTGCCTTCCTGGTAGCTAGATTATAGGCATAAGCCTATAGGCTCATGTGATCAGACTCAAGTGATCCTCCCACCTCAGCCTCCCCAGTAGCTAGACTACAGGAATGCGCCACCACACCCACCTAATTTTTTGTAGAATTGGTTTTCACCATGTTGTCCACGCTGGTCTCAAACTCCTTGGCTCAAGTGATCCAACTGCCTTGGCCTCCCAAAGTGCTGGGATTCCAGGCATGAACCACCACACCTGGCACCTCTCCTTTTTTAGGAGGGTTTGTTCACCCTCTACCACCATGCCCCTATTGACTAAGAACATGAATAATGATAAAAGTTCCTTGAATTCAGTCCATGCTTTGAAGTTACTATTTTTAAACCACAATAGCATCAACAAGCATGTGAAAATCATAGCTAATGCATGGGTGTTGCGTGTTCACCCCGAAGACTGTACTGGAGAGGAAGTAGATTCTCAATGCCCGGCATGAGCCCTTGACCTGCACCCCACTGCCAGGACCTGCAGGCTAGCTTCTCACCACAGCGCCTCGTTGGGATCCCCAGGAGACCCCATGGAGACACATATCTCTAAGCCCCCACTTCACATCGGGAGGGGAGGGCCCCAGTTGGGCTGCAAGGCCCTGGCCAAGGGGTAACCAGAATGAAGAATGACCCCAGACAGCCTTTTAGGTTTTCAAAGCACACCTGTGCTGAATCTGTGGCGTAATCCCCTCAGCAGACCCGCAAGGATGGCAGGACAAACACCGTACTGTTTGACATTCAGTGAGTGTCACTGAACAACACATTCATTATTCATGCCACTTGCCACTAACCCAGGACCCTCAGCCACCAAGCTGAGCCACTTCAGAGGGAATCGGGACAACTAAGAATATCAGAAAGTCATTCTCTCAACGTGTGGGGACGGTAGAGGCCATACTGTATGCCAGGCTGGAATTTGGAGTCCAAGACAACCTCAAATGCATGGCTGTCCTGGCTGTGAAGGGGCCTCTCTCTCCTCCCCCAGTATCTTCCCTCCCAACCCTGAGAAGTCTGGAACTCCACAAATCAGCTGGCTCTGGAAAGTGAGGGATGGGGAGAGGAGGCAGTGGGTTGCCATGGTGACGGCAGCCAATCAGAGATCCTCTGCTCCTAGAGGAGGAGCAAGTTCAATCTGAGTCCCCCTCACCAACTGTGAAGGAGGGTGGGGCTGGAGCAGGGAGTGGGGGAAGATAGAGACAGGACATCACTGCCTGACAGCAGAGACCAACGTAGGGGAGAAGGGTCACAGGAAGGGCTGCTTTATTTCTAGAATTACCTACCTAGCTTCCATTTGAGTACTAGGCTGTGATACACACACACACACACACACACACACACACAGAGTACATCTTACAAGTGCCCATGAGAAAGGGATTATTCACCCTATTTATAAAAGAAACATACTCCACCAGGCGTGGTGGGTCATGCCTGTAATCCCAGCACTTTGGGAGGCCAAGGCAGCCAGATCATGAGGTCAAGAGTTCCAGACCACCCTGACCAAAATGGAGAAACCTGTTTTCTGCTAAAAATACAAAATAGCCAGGTATGGTGATGTATGCCTGTAATCTCAGCTACTCGGGAGGCTGAGGCAGGAGAATCACTTAAAACCCAGGAGACAGAGGTTTCGGTGAGCCAAGATCACACCACTACACTCTAGCCTGGGCAACAAGAGTGAAACTTTGTCTCAAAAAAATAAAAAAAAATAAAAAAAAAAACAAGAGAAAGAAACAGACTCTGATAGGAAAGGTAACTTCAAACAGCCTACCTGTTATGTAGCGAGACCTAGATTTGAACTCTGGGGGATGGGATGCTGGAGATATTGGCAAGAGAGTCAGTAAGGTAGGCAGGGCAGAGCCCATGGCCCTCAAGACCTCCCTGAGGCTTCCCTGAGATGGCTTAAAGCAATTTATTGATGAAACAAGAGACACAGTGATGGTAAGAAGATGTACGAAGCATCAAGTCCATAGGACAAAGGGCAAGGAAAGACCAAAATCAGAAAAGAAATCAGCAAGATCAAAACTGGGAGGCTCAGAAGGATGGGATGGCAATCAGGGAGCAGGTGGAGGGAAGGCGAGGTGGGCTCTGTGTTCCTCACACCACCATATTCAAAGCCCCTGTAAGCCTCGCTGAGAAAGGTGGCCTGGCCCTGGCCCTGCCAAGCCAACTTTGGGTCAGACCTGCTGCTTGTGATCAGTCCACCCAAATGCTGGACTTGAGTCAAAGGGGCATGGGACCCACACACACAGATCAGCAACATCACCTCTGCAGACATCATCACCTCTCACAGCTCAAGTTGCACTACAGCAACAATACTGGGCCAGGGTGTGTGCGGCCACTCCCTGAATCCCCATGCA